AGATAGCGTTTGTATCTTTTGCCCAGTGCTAAGGGCAATCAACATAACACTTTTTTGATAAGTTTATCTAAGGCAAGTGATTCAAGTGGATACAATTTTTGCAAATAATTTAGGACTATTGAAGGGTCCCATGTCACACTATATTTTGGAGTTTGCGGTCTAAGTCTATATACTCCTTTAAACCACCTTTTTATTGTTTCATCTGTGACGACTCCGTGGCGCAGCGGATTAGCAATGAGTGGCTGCGCTTGGGGTCGCGGGTTCGAATCCCGCACGGAACAAATATTTGTATGGCCTACAAATAGTTGTTCCGGGTCTGGATGTTTGTTCTTGTGCAATTTATGTTTGTAAACTGCCCCCACGATACAGGAGAAAATTCTAGTGTAGGGTTGGTAGGTAATGTTTTTATAAAAAAAAGAATTGTTTCATCTGTTTCTAGATGTGATCCTATTATTAAGAATAGAGTTGATCTGTGGCAATTAAGGGTCTGATAACTAGAAATGGGCCGAATATTCGTTTTATATTCGGTATTCGGCATATTGGGCAGCTTTACCGTATATTCTTATTCGGCCGAATATTCGGCTAAATCTCCGAATATTCGGTAAAGTGGTACTGTACGCTGGAAATGTACGAATTGAGTAATGCGTATGTCTTTAATAATTTAACTGTTTGAAGTATATTTATTTATGGGTTAAATCTACTTGTATAGCGTTATGTTTTTGAGGCACTGTAGAATTATTTCCAATTAAAGCAAATAGAAAGCTTGATAAAATTTTGTTTGGAATCAAACAAAGAAACGTTGCATTACAGTCGACAGTTTCTCTAAAATAGGCCCAAATAGTAGATCTCCTGCCACTCATTTTCATCACATACTTATCAATTTTCACTAATAATAACACAACGAAATACTTTTTTCTCACAAAAATAGTCAAAGCATAAGCATGTGCCGGCAATTTTCTCACCAGTACTAGATGATGCAATAACATGTCAGGTGTGGCAATGGTGCGAGTGGCAGGGTCCGGCGCTAATCCCGCACACTTTACGGTAACAAGTTTCGACATAAATTGGTTCGGTACCGAGGTGATCCTGCCGAATAATGTTCGGCCGAATATTCGGTTCGGTAAAAGTTTAACCGAACGTTCGGCCGAATATTCGTATTCGGTGAAATCTATATTCGGCCCATCCCTACTGATAACTGCACCCTTTATTATATAACTCTGTTAAATATGCTATTATATTAGGCACTGATGCCCTATAGATTTCATGTTTATTTTGCATACAGTAATGGCACCAATGTTTTAAACATGTATTATACTATTTTAATGTATTTGAGGACAGAGATGCTAACATCAAATCACATGCCGATTCCGGGGTTTTATTTAACAGGAACGCTGTCCTGATAATATGCATGCCCCCAGGGTAAGTTATGCGTGGAGTGGGTGTGGTGTCCTGGGGGCCTAGACAAAATCCGTTTTCTGTAAGCGTTAACGCCAACGGAAAAATCTAATTGTATGGAGTTGACATTTGCTAACCAGATGTCACGTGATTGCTGCTTAATTGGTACGAAAGCAAAATGGTAGACAAGTGCCACTTTTGACAAATTCCAATGATATTTTGACGTTTCCGCAACACGCTATATTAGCGGGAGATCGGACCCAGACGCTAACGCTAGAAACGAGTAAACAGTGATATTTTTGTGTGTCTTTAATTCAAATTCATAATCATTATCATCATTACAGCCCTTCACAAGTCCACTGCTGAACATAGACCTCCCCTAACCTGCATCCATCGACTTCCTGCATGTCTTACCAGGTCGTCACTCCATCTAGTGGGGGTCGCCCTACACTTCGCCTACCGGTGTGCTGCTCGAGAACCTTTTTTCCCCAACGGTTGTCGGTTCTTTGAGCTATATGGCCAGCCCATTACCACTTCAGCTTACTAATCCGTTGGGCTATGTCGGTCACTCTGGTTCTACTGCGGATATCCTCATTTCTAAGTTTATCCCGCAGAGAAACTCCGAGCATAGCCCTCTCCATAGCTCGCTGAGCGACTTTGAGCGTCCTAATACGGCCAACAGTGTAGGACCACGTCTCGGTTCCGTAGGTCATCACTGGCAACACGCACTGGTTGTACAACTTTTCAGGTTTTGAGGTATACCTAATTCAAATTAATTAGTGAAAATGCATAATTTGAGATTATTATGGGCAGCTAATAATGAAACAACATTGCAAAGACGTCAAACAAGAGTAAATAGTCGTAAAATTATGCAAATTGTGTAGGTGGAGGAATTGGAACTTGTTCATTGTTTTAGGTTAGATAAACAAAGTTTTTGGCGTCTTTGTGATGATCTTCGGCGTTTAACCTCATTGAAAGGTACCCGGGAAATTAGTTTAGAAATCAAGGTAAGTTTTGTACCTACATAAAACCTTTCAAGAGTTATGTACTTAATGTCATTTCTCAATGAAATCATGTTTCTGGTTTTGTATACTCTTAGCTTTTTAGCTCCGGTTTCATATCAACGCATTGTTGGACTAACGCAGCATTTGGTACAAATAACAACTAGTAGGTATATACGTCAAGTTGTTGAAGCATTGAGCCATCCAGCCATTATAAATAAATGGATTCTGTTTCCAAGGTCGCAACAACAACGAGCCCAAATAAGACTTGAGTAAGTTATGAGATGACAAAAGTATTTAAGTGTAAAATACTTTTGAAATACTTTTTATTAGTAGTATATTCCTGATGTACTTTAAAATAAACACTATACCTTCCTTAAGGCCAATAGGTACTTAGAAAATGCCTCATTGAGCCTTTCATGCACACTAGGTTCAAAATACTAGTTAAAACATCTGTCCTTTTAAAAAAAAGTATTATATTTTGCGAAATTACAGGTTTCAGAGACGAATTAGACTTCTGGGTATAGTTGAATGCATAGACTGTACCCATATGGCAATAGTCAAGCCATCAGATGAAGAACATTTATTTTTTAATAGGAAAGGTTCATCGAATGTACAAATGGTAAGTTTACATTTGATAGAATCAGTCGTTACTTTGCGGAAATCTATTATAATAAAGAAATTTCAGGATAGGATTCACTTCAATCCAGGTAAGACACATCATTGTATTTAGTTAGCGGAAGGTTGCAAGATAATTAATTTCTTTAAGTTTACATTTGTTTGTGACTCAATCATGTAAAAATAGCTTTAAATAGTACTTACAGAAACATATTCATAGGATTATTATACATGTTCCATAATTTTTCCTGTATGCAACAGTAATTTAAAAATTACTAATGTAAATCCAAAGTTTGGCGGAGCTACCCATGAGTCATTCATATGGGCATCTAGCAGAATGGAAATATTTATTCGAGAATTGCACCAAAATGGAGAACAAGTGTGGTTATTAGGTAGGTTAATAAATATTATGGTATATTTTTAGATAACACTTTTGTTGAAAACATTTTATTCAAAAAAATTATATTGTTACGCAGCAAATAATTATTACCTAACGCAAATATTTATTTATGTATTTTTAGGTCATTGCTGATGACTCCTATATTAAATGCAGTTCCTGACTCACTTGATGATCCATATACTCAGCGACGACTCAAGCAAGAAACTGTATAGAGCGCTGTTTTGGATTGCTAAAGTCACGTTGGAGGTGTTTATTAAGACACAGGATGACAGGACCTTGCATTATCATCCTGTGGTTGCTGGGAAAATTGTACTTGCCTGTTGTGTGTTACACAATATGGCTTTAGAGGCCAATTTACCTCCTCCATCTATTATGGAAGTAGAAGAAGATGATGCTCAACCTGACAATGCATCTGATAGTGTTGGTGCTGCTAGTGATCAAAGTGAGCTACTCCAAGGCAGAGCAGTACTGAATAATCTTTTATCCAGACTTTTACAGTATCTTTTAGTTGTTAGTGTGTAATGGTATGTGTTATGTGATTTCTGAAAGCAATGTAACAAAACCTTATTTCCAAGGTGAAGGTGTATCAAAATTAAAGGTCAAGGTTTTCTGTCAGATATGTTTCATTAATAAAATATACACTATCCAAATTTTATTGTTCAATTAATTTTACGTTAGGAAGTAGTAGATATAGAGTTATATAATTTTGTTTTGAAATTTTAACTTTATCCTTTCGATGATTATGAACAAATAAAATTTAATTACATTATCCATGGAATACATGTCATAGTTTATAGGCCGATTTTTTGATAGCCAGATTCCCCAGATGAAAATTATCTGACTATTGAGGATATAAGGGTAGAATATCATGTTACTTAAATTCTTTATTTTACGTTAGTAAGTAGTAGATATAGAGTTATATAATTTTGTTTTTGTAATTTTAATTTTATCCTTTTGCTGTGCCCAGGGTCCATGTTTTGTACCTAGTTTTAAATGAATATGATTATGAACAAGTAAAATTTAATTACATTATGAATGGAATACATGTCATAGTTTATGGGCTGATTTTTCGATAGCCAAATTCCCCAGATAAAAATTATCTGATTATTGAGGATATAAGGGTAGAATATCATGTTACTTAAATTCTAATTTGGTCCAGTACTTGTACTAAAGTATTTCTTAGTTGTTAGTGTAATGGTATGTGATAAGTAATTTGTGAAAGCAATGTAACAAAATCTCATTTTCAAGTAGAAGATCAAAATTAAAAAAAGACTTATTTTCTTTAAAATATTTTTCATTATTAGAATTATACACTATGCACTATTAAGGCTAAATTAAAAAATGAAAACAAATAAAATGTATATAATATTAATTACATAATACAGTCAAATAAAATTACATTAGGGGTAGAATAAATTACGTTACTTAAATGCTAATTCGGTCTCAAATCACGAGTCTCCAATAGTGACATAAGAGCTGTTATTTTTAAATTTAATTGTTGGGTGTAGTCACATAGGTCTGCCTCTACGCGGTGCGGACTTCTTCGACCCAAACACGCTCTCTGTCAAGTTGCAGACGTTGTGCTTCTATTTTAAGTCGTTCAGTTTCAAGCTCGTGTTGACGTGCATCCCTCTCCCTTTCGAAACGCAACCGATTCTCCTATATTGCCACAAACTCGCTGATGGTTCGGTCAAATGGTGTTCGTCGCAGTCTCCACTGTTTGAGACAGCGACGATGAGGTGTAGAAGGGCCAGCAGATACCGGCGACCTTCTGTGAACACAGATGAAAGCTATAATATACTGAAGAAAACTAACAAAAAATGGTGGTGGTGGTGGTGGTGGTTCTATCTATAGTGGCAGTGAAGTTATTTAATAATGTTGGTAGTTTCAATAACTCATAATAATGAATATTCAATAATTTAGTAGTAGGTATTCTAATACCTTTACAAAATTAATTTTGTAATAATTACCTCCTTGTATATTTCTACTATTTGAAGGTCCTGGCACAAGACTCACAGGATGTGCTGGTGGAGATGTTACATCTGCTGGCATTGTTATGGGTGTATCTTCTGCAGCTGATGTTAACGCCAAGATTTCAATTTCTGGTGGTGATGGTATCCTCTCTGCTGTATCAGCTGTATAGCTCACTTGAGGTTGAGATGGTTCCTAAGTACAAAAATATAACCAGTTGTTGACGAGAAATATGCAAGTTTTTTATGAAATCAGCAAAACAAGAAAAAACATTAATATATGAAAGGTTCACTTACTTGAAAGCCTGCTTCTTGTATGGCCTGACTTCCAGTAATTGCGGTGGCCCCAATTACGTATAACACCCTTTCCTCAAGTCAACTTAATGGTTTTCCCCTACCAGACCTACCACTAGTGCCACGAATGTCTCGATTTATAAGGGAGGCTTTCTTTTTTGTTTTAGTTTTCCAGTCAGATCATACCTGTAGCACAAAATATAAAATAATACATTGAAATAAATGGTCTTCATGGGTGCCTATGTAACAACAGTACATACTTTGTTTAATAATTAATATCTTATTATCCTTTTCCATTTGTCAGATGTTTTGTTAACACCAATTCCACCCACTAAGTTTAAAATTTCAGCTAACTCTTGCCACAGGCATTCACTCCTTACTCTTCCTTGAAGTCCAACTTGTGGCCTTAAAAGATCATCATGGCTAAAAATAACATTCATAAAATATTGTACAGTGAGAATAAGAGCCTGTCTAAGAAACAAGTATTAAGGTTTGGAATCCAGTTTATCTTTATAAGAATAACAAAATATAAGAACCACAGTCATATAAGTGCACCATTGTGAGGTTGTTTACATTATGCATTCCATATTCTCAAGTAGCTCCAATAATAGTTAAAACAGGGAGTAAAAATTTGAATAATGACATTATTTATAATAATCCTATTGACATCTGTGAACTATTTAACAATTATTTTACTAAATTTACAATACAAAAAAAGACACTGACTATGAATAAATGACTCACTTAAAATACATTAAAACAGAAGTAAAGAGTATATTTCTTCAGTTAATGGAAGTGATTAAAACTACTTTTACGGATTTTATCGCGTTTATTTTACTTTTAATTACTTTAATTTTTTAATTCCCGACGTTTCGGGTGCTTTCCAGCACCCATGGTCACGGGGGACTAAAGTGGGTGCAAGAAAGCACCCGAAACGTCGGAAATTAAAAAATAAAAGTAATTAATAGTAAAATAAACGCGATAAAATCCATAAAATTAGTTTTAATCAATGTGTAATGTTCGCGTAAATATAAGAAATCATAATGAAAGTGATATTATAATCAACATTAAATCCTTTAAAGATACAAACTCTACTGGATATGATGAGCTGAATACAAAAATAATAAAAATAATCGCTTCCTACATAGCAACGCTTTCTACACTGTTAAATAGATCGTTTGAACAAGGTGTTTTCCCGGAACACTTAAAAATATGTATCGTAAAAACGTTATATAAAAAAGGTGATCATATTTAATAAAATACATAAAAAATACGGGTAACTACAGACCAATAACGCTTGTACCGATACTTTCTAAAGTTTTCGAGAAGGCTATAGTAAAAAAATGCAAACTTTTTAAACAAAAATATTATATTATCATCTTATCATTTCGGCTTTCAGAAGAACAGCTCAATGACATTAGCGTGTTTTCATATATTAAAAAAAATCATTGAAGCACTAAATAACAAAATGTCAGTGGCATCTATATTTTTAGACATGAGCAAAGCTTTTGATCAAGTATGCCACAAAATTTTGATCAAAAAGCTTGAAAAATACGGTATAAGAGGTAAAGCATACTTATTTATCAAATCACAAAGAACGTACGGATATCATAAAACAATAAACAATATGAAAGTAACTTTTAAATCTGCATTAATTAGTAATAATTGCGGTACGCCACAAGAATCGGTTCTTGCTTCGTTACTCTTCTTACTTTACATAAACAATGTACCAAGGGCAATTAGTCAGGAGTGCATATTATTCACAGATGATACAATGCTTATTATAAAATGTAAAAACGAAAATGAAATACAATCATTAGCCATGGAACAATTTAATAATGCTATAAATTGGATGGAAAGTAACAATCTAAAAATAAATGTTGATAAAACTAAAGTAAACAAATTCCAACCACGTAATCTCTCAACCATGTAACCTCTAGCAATAATAACAATAGTATTACGAGTATAAAAGAAATTCAGCAAGTAAATGCAACCAATTTTTTAGGCATACGTCTAGACAAAAATTTAAATTGGAAAGATCATGTTATAAAATTAATAAATAAACTAGACAAATTTGTTTTTGCTTTGCGACGTTTAAGATTTATAGCGTTTTAGGAAATAGCCCTTATTACCTATCATGGATATGTATCATCCCTCTTACGATATGGATTGATTGTTTGGGGAAATTCCGTTTATGCGGACAAAGCATTTAAAGCCCAAAAAAATGTATAAGAGCGTTATGTGGTGTCGAATTTTATGAAAATTGTACACCGTTATTTAAAAAAACTAAAAGTTCTACCGTTGCCTTGTCTTTACATACTAGAAATAAGTTTTTTTGTGAAAAAGCATCCAAACATATTTCCATCACACAATGAGGCGTTGGGAAAAGAAGATAGCCGAATTATAGGTAAATTATATGTACCACAACAAAGGCTTAATATGTATAGCAAAAGTTGTTTTTGTATGGCAATTAAAATATTTAACAAGCTACCAGAAAATATAAAACTATTAAATAATAATAACTAAAAGAACTTTAACTCAATGCCTTCTTGAACGTTGTTTTTACTCCGTAAAATATTTTCTGAAATATAAAATAGAGTAGGTACAAAAGTGACACTATATGTATTCATGATTATGTGTATATGATATTGATTCAATTAAGTTTTTTTTCCTAAGTCTATGAATTGTGAATAACTTTGAATAAGTTACAATAGAGATGGAAATATTATTTAGTTTAAAACGAAACGCCTGTTAGTCACAAAAATGTTAATGTTTTACTAATTTCTGAACAATTGAAGCCTTAGTCTTAAGTTATATTTCACAATTTATTAATTATGTGCTGTAATTATTGTTATTAGATTGACATAATATTTTTATATTGACATCTTATTGCTGACGTAAAAAACTAAGAATTGATAATTGATAATTGTGCTATTTCTACGCCGACACCGGTAAGACATGTAAATGTTCCTACAAGTTATAATGCAACAACTTATTGTACCATGTCTCTGAAATAAATAAATAAATAGTGATATGAATAAATGAAAAATTCCGGAAAAACCCTACAAGCTACCTACCTATAGCAAAATAAATTGTTCGGGACTCGCACGAAGTTTAGAATCCATATCACAGTTCTTACAGTATCTTCACTAACTTTTTTGTAATATAACACTTCAATAACTCTCAACACAATACTTTTGAATAATATTCTAAGCGCGCGTTTACGTTTGACAGTGACAGATACTGACACAATTGACACTTACACACTATTCCATAGACTAATTAAAGAGTGTTTAGGGTAAAGCTACGGAATGGGCATTCAGCGGTCCATGTGTAACTTGTCTACAACAACACGCTAACGTCAAGTCCTTAGCGTGAGCGGAAAACGCTTGCACAGGAAACGCTTGGATTTTGTCTATGCCCGCTGAAAGGAGAAGATAAGAGTTCTGATGAAGGTTGAAAGCAAATTACTTTCGAGTCTGTCATTGATTTCATCATAGGATACCAGGGCTGAGCAGTCCATACAGGGAAAATAATGATGCCCCTTGCCTTTTCATTATTAATTTTTAGAACTGTTTTTAAAAGAACTGAAAATGGTGTAAATGCATAAAAGTAAAAATCAGACCACCTTAATGTACATGCATCTATATTCCATGCTTCTGGATCTCTTCGCCATACACATATTTAATACATTTTATATTTACAGCGAGCGTTAACCTTTTGAGCTACCACGGCTCTGTTATAGTACATACATTGTGCAATTTTTTTATATTTGCCTTCATTTCACTCTCCCATTGTTTAGAGATGTAAAGCCCATTAATTACTTATAGTTTTTTACTATAGTACCAATGTAATTGTTTAATAGTGACCCTCACTTTAAGGTTTAAGGGGTTCACATATTAATGGCATGACATCACTATTATCCCCACGGGATAAGCCAAAAGCGACACTAGCTTTGAGTATGAGTATAAGTTTGTGATATATTATAACCAGGCATATTATGACTGGCCAACTAATCCCCACGGGAAAGTTGTGACTATGCCCCACGGGGTATAGTCTCAAATGTTTATACACAGAAAATTGTGTGTTTTGATTGGAGGACAAATAAACCTTATTTTTATATTCCCTATAAAACGTTCCCGGTCTAAATGCCAACATTAATGATCTTTTAAAACACATAATATATTATATTTTTAAAGTTCTATATAAATCGGTTAACTTTCAATTATTTTATAAAAATTGGGGTCACAATCATTGAAGTAATATGTACTGACGTACTAGAACAGCTATCTCAAACAAAAAATGTGCGCTTCTGTGTTCACGCGGTTGTTTTTTTATCATAGAATAAATATAGGTAGAATGATCCGTAGGTAATAGTAGATTGTATTGTTAAATAAGTAAATTATATCGAGAAGAATATTTAAATTTCGTCATTTATTTTGTATATTATATTTGCTTATTTAATATAATATTACATAATATTATATCACAATTATATTTTAATGATATTTTTATCTGAATATTTTAAAAGGTATCTAAGTATGTCTAATATAAAAAACGTACTAAATGTATGTTTAACAAAACTTATTAATATAACATTTAAATTACAAATATATTTATTTATATTAGAATAAGAGCCGTTCTGCTGAGTTCGTAATGCTGGGCACGCAAGAGTTAAAAATGGACGAATTTATTCCACTTTGACTTTGATGTGGAAACCCAAAGATAAAATAAAAGAATAATAAGCAGATTTAAACATGAAAAATTTAGCCTAGTTATAATAACTTACATATGTTTCTACAAAAAAATGTGTATATTAATATATTCGTTCTATACTTAAGTACCCACAGAAATGTCGCATCTGAACATATTAATTTCATAATCTATATTCCATGACGAGATGGCGTCTTAGGAATAATTTGTTTTATTAATAATCTATAATACTTTTTTATTGGTTAAGTATCTTATTGACCGATGAAAATTAATTCCTTGGTTTTTACTGACATTTCTTTAATTATTTGTGCAATATCTAAGTACACACGACGGCATATTATACCAAGAGATTTTTTTTATAATCAACACAACACGTTACAACTCTACAAGCGCCTAGCGAGTGACTGATTAAAGTGCGGTGTACGCACCGCAGTTGAGTGGAACAGAGTAGCTGAATGCAGTGTCGCCTCCAGTACGTAGTACATAATAGCTCAATGGTCGTAATAAAAGCAGACTTACCAACATCGTCAACCTCATTTTCGTTTCTATTATCTTTTGAATATTCGACTTTACGTCTTTTACAACGTTCATATTTCTTCTTATATTTGTTCAAATTCCTTTCTAAACGTTCTTCTTTTGACTGCCTTCGTCCTTAACGCATTTTATACCGATGTAAAAAGAATAATTTGTACAAAAACTTTCGAAATTTACTGCGCAAACGCAAAATGATGATCGTTTATCAAACGCGGCAAAACGAATGATATTTGAGAAGCGTTAGGTTGCGTTCGTGTTTTAACTTTTTTTTAGACTCGTTCATCGAGCGGACTAAGCTTGAATATAATAAAATTTTCTTTTATAAGTTGATTCCCTAAATGTTCCGTATTGTTGCCAAAGCTAGTTTCAATTTTTTTTTCTGAATATATTAGTTATATCATACAATTTTGTGCTTTTGTTTCTGTCCTTCTTCTAGTTTTTGTTTTATAAGGCTCAGTACATTATTAGTCATAATTTAATCAGTATAAGTACATTTTACCCATACGAGTAGAATACTATAATACACAATAGAATGGCTGTCAACCTTATTTTGTACCGAGGTTCGGCATCGCTGGGAGCACACATACAAGCAATCACGTCGTATTATTAGTTAATCACTAATACAACCCCGATTCTCTGTGTTGACAGATGGATTTTTATATAGATATTGGTTGGGCGGCGGGCCTTAGGGTCCCCGAGTTCGATTCCCCCGGTCGAGCCTTGACCCTATTACGCGAGATTTTATACTAGATGGACTGTATACGCGGAAGCTTCTTCTGCCTCATCAAGATGGCGGACCCTTGACAATGCACTCGCTCTTCCGAAATCTATTGTTTGCCAAGGTTATGAAGGAATCCTGACCATAAAAAGGGAAAGCAGGCATAGCATTATAGGAAAAACATACTTACAGGGATGTGACTTCGATGCGGCTTAGGCGCTTCTGTTGCTGTGGTACGACTTCTGGTGAGTCTTCTGGGGCGCCCCAGAGATGCGATCCAGGCATTGGTGTGAAGGAATCGTGTGCGCAACGATATCTCACACTATGTGAGGCGGTTACTTCTGGAGCTCGACTGCTCCAGGTACGGTTTAGACTAGCGGCGCGAAGGCAAGAGAGGGCTCGAGGGCAGAGCGCGAGCTTATATTGCTTCGGCTTTCCTATCAATGCATCTCGGTCGGGCGCGCTTCTCATTGGTCGAAAGAATCACGCCACCTTCTAGCCTCTGCTCTTTCCCCTTTAAGTGTGTTTACAGAAGGGCAATAGGTCGGAGGAAGGATAGAAACTTGGCAAATATACCCTCGAATAAAATTAAAATACACGAATCGTTTCTGCGTAACCATCCCCCCCGGCTTGAAGGGTCCCCTTCAAAATAACTAACGCTAAGACTAAACCTAATTTTCGACTACAATTTCTAATCTAGAAAACTAATTTAAACTATTGAAGGGGCAAAGGGCACAAGCGGATAACAGGACGCATGTAAGAGCCAGTCATGGTCCTAACGTGAGCTACCCTAGTTACCCCGTCGGAACTGGGAAAAACTTCTTCGACAATCCCCAATGGCCAATGGAGAGGCGGCGTATCCTCCTTGGTGAGAACAACCACAGTTCCGATAGTTAAAGGTTCAATTGTTGTGTTCCATTTTTGCCAAGACTGCAACGTATGCAAGTATTCCATCCTCCATCGTTTCCAAAACGACTGCACCAACCGGTTCAATAATTTATGGCGTGCGGAAATACTAAGTTTGTTCTCGTCCATGTGTTTACGGATTGTGTTACTCGACAAGACCTAAGGTCCGCCATTTCCGGAAATGACGGCTTAGGACGTACTCGAAAGCAAGCTATACATCTGTGCACCATATTGCGGATTAAATTACGTGCTGAAAGAATCCAATAATTCTGATTGAGACTGATTGTCATCAGCAAGTCGGGGCCAGCGTGAGAATTCAATTAATGATGGTAATCAACTAATAAATTCATGATATGGTCTTTACGCGGTAAAATTATAGGGTGCCGTTGGTCGAAACTCAACTGCGAGTGAGACAAGCGTCCACCTACTCTGACGATTCCATCTTGTAAAAATGGCTTAAGACGTTGAAAAGCGCGACTACAAGTTCTATTCGATTGTAATCTTGTAATTTCCTCGGAAAAATATGCACGTTGAAGTTCACGCAATACTAGCAACTCGGCATAGCTGTAATCGGACTCTACGATATACAAACGTCGCGGTAAAAGCTTGGCGTATCGACAAACGTAAATCACGCTATGCAATAATTTCGACCAAGAGGACAAACGGTTCGCCAACACAATGATTGGATAAACCTCGCTCAAAACGTTCGCCACCAGAGCGTGCCTCTTCTCTTCCGGTGGTTGAGACACTGACGAAGAGTCGAAATCGATTATTGGTCACTACGAGGGTTCCAAGTGAACCCAAGAAGGTCCGTGGAACCAAAGCGGATGGTCCATTATTTGCATCGGGGTGAGTCCACGGGATAGACAATCGGCAGGGTTTGTCGCACCGGACACGTGATAAAAGTTCCGTGTTCATAACTCGTCTTGGATCTTGGCCACTCGGTTCGCGACAAACGTATCCCAACGGTGGGGTGAAGAATGAACCCAACATAAAACGACGGTTGAGTCAGAAAAGGCAAATATTCTTTCTATGTGAACTCTGTTACTACATGCACTGATAACTGCGGTGATAAGCTTGGCAAGGACTAATATCGCGCAAAGTTCTAAGCGCCCGAGAGAGACAACCTTACGGGGGGAGACTATTGACTTAGAGCTAATGAGGCTGATCGAATTTCTACCATTATTCTGGACGTGAAAATATACAACGCCCCCGTAAGCCTGCTCGCTAGCGTCTGCAAACCCAACGACCGTGATGACGCTATTTCTATCGACGTTTATATGACGTGGTATTTTAGTTTCGCTTAGTAAAGGAAGTTCCTCTGAAAAACGCAGCCACGACCGAACAATGCTATCAGGCGGCGGGTCATCCCAATCGCATTCACATAACCAAAGTTGTTTAATCAAAAGCTTAGCGTATAGCACCACCGGGGCTACGAAACCCATGACATCCCATAATCTAGCAACGCATGACAGCATTGTGCGCTTTTTGCACCTTTCTGCGGGCGGGTTTACCTTAAGGCTAAACACGTCGGACTGCGGTGACCAACACAAACCGAGCACCTTGTGCGTATCAGAATCGTTGAATTCCTTTATCGCCGAAAGGCGGTGTGATAGTGGGATTGTATCTAAAACTGTACGCGAATTACTAGTCCACTTGACGAGGTCGAATTGACCCACTTTCATGAGCTATATAACCTCGGCGGTGGTTGGGATGGCCTCCTCCACGCTATCAATCGAATACACAAAATCATCCACATATAATCCACTCTCAATTGCCCTCTTAGCTTTAGGATAAGAGGGACTTTCATCGTAGGTGAGCTGTCTCACCGTGCGTAACGCATGAAATGGGCTCGACTTTAAACCAAAGCAAACGCGATTTAATTCAAACACCATTAGATTAGAGGTTCTTTTGGGTCAAAGCGATATAAAATGCGTTGAAATCGACAGTCGCATTCACGGACCCCTATGCTAAGAAACATTTGGCGAATATCGGCGGATAGTGCTATACTGAACAAACGAAAATTTGCTATTATATTAAATAAATTACTCTGTAAATTTTGCCCACTATAGAGGATATCGTTAAGAGAGAGGTGAGTGCTAGTTCTAGCACTAGCGTCGAGCACTACACGTAACTTGGACGTAAGTTTGTCTTCCCTAATGACCCCGTAATGTGGTATGAAATACTACGGCGCGTCTTCGTAGTTATCTAATTTTGGAACCACAAGTGATATGTAACCCTCCCTTAAATATTCATTAATGAAGCCGTCATTAGCTTCCTTTAATCTGGGCGAAGCGAGCATCCTACGCTCCAAACAATAGAAACGTTTTTCCGGCATTTGACGGGAGTTGCCGAGAGATAAAACATCTCCTTTAAGAAGATGTTAAAGGAGATGTTTTGTCCTTTAAAGGGTAGCGCTACATTATATCGACCTTCGCGATCACGAACGGTCGTGAGGACGTAAATTTCCTCGCATAATCTATCATCTGGACTAACTATATATGGAACGTTCACCTCTTCCATCTCCCAAAATTTGCGAACTAACGACTCGAGCGGTTCGACAGCCATACAACAATAAGAGGTTGCCGAAATATTATCTATAATAGGGGCGCAACCAATAATGACGTAGCCTAAGACGGTCTCCAGTGCGTAAGGCGCGGTATGCGAGGAGTTGCCCCTCACCTTATTGTGTAACAAAAGATGAGGGAAAAGCGATGCTCCAATGAGCATGTCTATATCTCCGGGGACGGCGAAAGTATCGCCTCCAGAGTCAAATTTTCAAAATCAATCATTGCCGAGGTGTCGACCGAAACGGTTGGCAGACGCTCGGTGACTTTATCTACTACTAATGCATTTATATTAAAGTTAATGTTACGATCTAACCGATAATAAAATTTCAAATTTATAGAACCCTGGGTAATTTTATTAGTACCTCCGATGTCTTTGACTACGGGACCTGAAAGTATCTTATTTAGCAATTATATTAGCAATCCTAAACGCTGGCAACATTGTCGCGTTATAAGGCTACTTTGTGATCCGCTGTCTAGCAACGTACGGACACTTTGTTCGTTTCCACGCGAATCCCTAACTACGATACGGGCTGTACCCAGTAACACGGTGGAAGGAGACTGCTCTCCCGCATTCGACAGTGAGCACAGGGCGATATCACCCGGTCGACCGCTAGAATCGTCGACTTTAGTATGTGTAGTTTCCTTGTCCGATTTACTCGACGTGAATACGTTGCCACCTTCGAAATATAATAACGTGTGATGTCTGCTAGCGCACTTGTTACACACGAAACTAGAATTGTATTTAGCAACTAAATGTCTATCGCTTAGACAATTTAAACATAAGTTGTTCGTCTTTACTATTCTATAACTTTCGCTGGGTGAATGTTTACGAAGGGTCGCACAATTATACAAATTACCGCGTT